GCAAGACTTGGCTTGCTGCGAGGCCAGGTGTTGAGGCTGGAGCTAAGGCTGTTGAGACTGAGGTTGGGGCAGCTGGGGGAATTGCTGCTGATACTGGTACTGGGAGACCTGATGCAGCATGTGTTGTTGATAAAGCTGAAGTTGTTGGAACTGTTGCATTTGGGCCTGCATGGCTCTCATGCACTGCATCAGGTCCTCCAGCTGGTTCGGGCTGGCCACTGGGGGCACGACCGAAGGTTCAGTGATCGTCATTCTGACTGTAGCAGGAAGTGGGGCGATGACAGGTGCCATTGTGAGAGGCACATTCAAGCTGGGGATTCCGTCCGCTGAGAGGGGGACGGTGAACTGTCCGACACAGACAATAGGAAGCTGGGGTTGTTCCCTCGAGTTATCCATTTCCGTGCTTCGTCCGGTGTTGCTAGAGGAAGCCATGAACGCTGGGTTGTTTCAAGGAAGAAGAAGGAACTGAAAGAGTTTAGAGAGAAAGGCGTTTTGAAGCGTTTCCCACAGACGGCACCAAATGATGTAGCGCGATCCGGGCACTCCTAGCTGGCTGCGGACGGGCTTCTTGTTGGCAACGAATGGCACCTGAGAAGATGAAATGAAGGATTTCTAGGGGTTTACCCGGTGGGAATACTCCGATACTTAAGTTAGTATTGTGTCTGGGAAGTAAAGAGAAAACGAAGGCTAAGAGTGGAGGTCACGCTTATCACTATATTCGAGCGAGTAGAGGTTTTTTTCCAGAAGCCGTTTCTCCTCTGCCCTGGGGGCTTTTATAGAGGCATTTTTGTGAGATCGGGCATAACCGCCACTGGGCTCCTGCCACAGCCGTTACCTGCCAGGGCTGCGTAGGTGGCCGTTGTGACGTACTCCTCGCCTGGGTAAGTGACACGTCTCCAAAGTGATAGGCACGCCTCCGCCTGTTGAGAGACGTGGGTGCAGACTACCGAAAGGACAGGGACTGCGCCRTCAGTAGGGACTGGGCGTAGTCTGATTGGTACGGTCTATTGGATAGAAGCTTCCTGAGGAATGCTCGTGCGGCTCGTTCGCG